CCACAACATGTCAGAAGTCGCCGCAGTGCCCGGCTTGACGTCCTGTGTCTGGACGTCAAGCGCGATATATTCAAATTCAGTATACGTCAATCCAACCCCAAACTCGTATCTTGGTGTGATGTCGTTTTTGTCGAAAGCACGGTAGTCGACATATACTCCCTCCGTGAAGTCGCACTGCGGGCTTGTTGTATTGGCCTCCCTCCCGTATAGCGTATATACGGAATAGTCGCTCTCGTTCTTGGCCAGTGTGTATGGTAGCTTCCCAGAGAATGAAGCTTCGCCATAAAGCAACTTCACGAACGCCGCTCCACTGTCCTGGCCAGGAAGGTGGGCAATTATAGTTGCAGTGACGTTAGGATGTTCGATCCACTGATCAATGAGACGAATTCCAGCCGCATGAATAATAACAATGGTTTTTGCGCATTTGTTTGCCACATGCAGTACGAGCCCATCTCTGAAATCATCGTGCGGACCATCTCGGTCCCACCCTTCCGTTGCCATGGCGTTAATAAAAACAAGACACACGTCGCTAGCCGCGTTTACATCGGGGTTGGCTGATGACAAATCCCAGTTAATCCAGCTACCGTCTTGTGCCGCTCTGTGCTGAATCGAGCTCAGGGGCTGTCCTCTGTTAGTGGATGAAGATGGTCTTGGGAAGAATGCTCACGTCAAGGATGTATGCTGGACCGTTTGCTGCAGCCCGTCCTCCGCTGACTATTGTTCCTCCCTTGGCAGCCTGGTCAAAATGTCTCTCAGTTCCCAATACCGCCTGAGCCATCTCAGGGGAGGAGTAATATCCGAGCTCAAAGAGTTTATCAGTGTTTTTAGTGCTAGGCACTGTTGCGTCATAGCCATAAACCGATATCACAGTTGGGGCCTTGCGGAGTGGCAAGGTGCTCTTTTCGTTTTTGAGCAATACGTGGCCGGCAATTGCGCCATCAAGAATCGTCGGTGCTGAATTTGGGTCTCGAGCATCAACTTGCTCGTGGGGTTCTGTAAGGTTTTTCATACCAATCCCTGGCGTTGGAAAATCTACGTCCTGTCCAACAAGGTACCAAGCTGTAAGTATCCTTTATCATGTTAACAACAGTGGTATATGTCTTGGACAAAACAACAAACCTTATGGCCATGTCATTGACTCTGGATTCGTTGATCGTTCCGTTCTTGACCGCTGTAGTTAGATTCTGTCCCCAGTTGCCTCCAAGGGGCATAACCATGTCCAAACCGGCGTTAGCACTCTGTAGACTGTGCTTTGCATTCCAATCGAGGAGCACAAATCCATCATACTCCAATTCAGTCTTCAAAATTCCGTTGATGAGCTTGCTGTTCTCGCAGCCGCAAGTGTTGTTGATCCTGTTGTAGGAACACATGATTGATGCTGCACCAGCTCGTATCCCATCAACAAAACGCCAAAGGTAGAACTCGTGAAAGGTCTTGTCGTCAATATTGGCCGACACCGCTTCGACTCCATAGTATGGTCTTCGATATGTCTCTTGTTCGTTGCCAATGAAATGCTGTTATGAGCTGTAAACTACATGGCTTAAGAACGCTCAGATTTGACGGCTTACTTTCAGATTAGCGATAATGCCAGCCTCTTGATGTCCAACGATCGTCTCAGCGTTCAGCTGTCCAGAAAGATATGGGTCGACTGAGAACCCTTCCCAGTTTCGACCGCCTAGGGGGATTCTTCCAAGAGGGCCAGCATTGGGGCCAAGCAAAACGTTGACTGTGTCACCAGTTCCGTCAGCAGTAGATAAATACCTGATGGTGCATGAGAGACAATTATCCCCTTTGGTTTTGAACTCCTTGCCCATGTAATAACCCCGTCGGTATGTCAAGTTCTTGTCCCAGCTTTCACCTACATGAATAGCTGAGGGATATGAATTCACCAAATCCTTTGCTCGTACGCCATTGCCTGCGTCATGCAAGCACAAACTCGGCCATCCCAGGCGTGGTACAGACCCGGTATTGCCGGCGCAAACATTATTGCTGGGATAGCCTCTCGTGATGTTGACTTTCTCTTCTAAAGTCAACTGTTCGACGAATGATTTTGCTTTAGCATATGGGTCTCTCCATGACCCTCTGCCTTGGCCCGAAGCTATTTCATTTTTATATCAGAAATAGTTCGATATGGGCGTGGCTGGTTGAATACAAACGTGACGGGTAGACTTCGGGCGACTGCGCGAGTGCCACAACCCCCACCGAGAGCCCGAGCACCTGCGGAAAGACTACCAAGTCCGTTTGTAACCACAACGCGACTGCAAGTGTGATCGTTTTGGGGATGAATTCTCTAAAGCATGTTTGGTGGATTTTTGTTGTATTGACACCGATTATATCTATTCTTCCGAGTATATGATCCCCCGAAGTCTAGCCGTTTCACCGCTTGAAAACGGATGTTTTTCGGCAGTGACCGTATTCGTGGCCAAGAATTCCATCGTCATACACACCAATGTTGTATCCATTGACCCACTTAGTAACTCCTAAATCCTGATTGTACCTGTGAAATGTGGAGTGACGGAGTTGATCCTACTCGCCCCGCACCCTGATATGGATGTGAGTACGAAATGCTAGGTAGCACAACCATCAAGGGAGACAAGCCCCGAGCAAGCTACTTAACGCACGTCTTAACATGATCGGCTACTAACCGCTGCACATATGGGTACTCGTACTCTGAACTAAGGATGTACGGGACGGAGAATGATGCCGAACAGAAGTTTGCGGGCCGAAAGTCCGGGATGCTTGTTTACTAGGCCACGCTTAAAAGTTAAACAATCAATAATACCGAACAGATGCGTAGCTTCATGTTATGAAACGGCAGTAGTATCCACGTGAGTTTCTTCTTGGTGTGGCCACCGAAGCTGTACATAATCAACAAGTTCAGTAGATCTACGAGATACATCCAACACTGTCAGGCCTGAGGTTCCGAACTATCACACAAAGTACAATCGGCCAAGTCCAAACTAATCCCGTAGCCTTGTTCATGTTCTCTCGAGCAGTGCTTGCGGCACTATGTTGATGAACAGGGGAATAACCCGGTCTATTCATGATCATTGGGATGAAACACCAGTGCTCGAACTTCGATGCTTTCTCTTGGGGGCGCATCTTGGCTTGCATTCGGGTCAACAAAGGATGTATGAGGCACCCTTCGAGCCCGACAGTCGGTTTTACTGTCGAAGCACTTGATGAGGATGACTTCCTCTGGTGACAGACCCGCCTTATAGTACCACCTATGCTCATCTCTGTATCTCACTGCGTATGTCTCTCCGCGCCTATTGGGGTAGATAAGGTCTGTCACCACAAGGTCTGCATCAGAAACGGAGCCAGCCTCGGCAACTGCCAGTGGGTCTCGCCGAACTGTCTTTATAGGCCTCCAAACGTTGATGATCTGCACGCGGCCTTTGAGCAGCTCTTCAGCATCTGCTGGAAGGTGGTAAGGTACACGAGAGAGAGCTGCTTTATAAGACTGGTCTATATGAACCCGTTGTACCGGTCCGCGAGCCGCCCGGTCCCGGCTCGCCGCGCTCGGTAGGTTTCGCCTGATTGTATGATCGAAGATGAAGATGCGGCTGGCACCCGTCCTGATTTTGACATCAACTACCATCTTGAGGCAAAATAACATAAGACAGATGGCCATGTCTTATTGGCATGTCTACTTACACCGTCTTGAGTAGTTGCTCAGTCTCTGGATAATATGATGCCTTGATTTGAGCATCATCGACAAAGTGTTTCTCATTAGCCTGGTGGCGGTAGATCTGAAACCCGTTTTCATCAAGGGTAAACCGGTCTTCGTCACCAGTGATATCCTTTATTTTGACAGAATGTGTTTCAAAGGGCCTCTCAAAGGTTTCCGGTCTGTCAATGTAGGTGGGATGGGGAGGCGACCCATCCTCATTGTCTTTGTGAAAATGCAAATCCGCATATACGTCCTTTTTCGAAACCGGGTGAGAAGTAACGGACAGGCTTTCAATAGCTTGGGTATTCTTGACAGAACCCAAATCACCCGTCGGCCAAATTTGCTGGACGGTTGCGGCTGCCATTGTAATTCTTGAGTGGTAGAGTATATAAAGATTGGATTGAGACAAGGGTGAGATGTGATCACTACTTCTAAGGCACTGAGGAAAAGAGGCTGAACAGAGGCATATTTATCCTTTATAGGGCAGTGCTTCCCCCGCGAGCACGCAATATTCGTCTGATCATAAACGATTTAGGATTGATAAGCAAATCCAATGAATCACTCCGTCACTCCGCGGAACCGGTCCTTGGATTGCCCAATGTGCACTAGTCACTGGCTGAGACATATGATTACTTCCGTGGTTTCAAATCTAGCTTCATGTGACAAGTCTTTCTGTTTTTCATTTACTGATGTCATACTTGGCTATAGATCTATAATCCGACTCGCATCATGCTGATTTAAGGGGAAGCATTACTACACCTCTCCTAAAATAAGGTGTAAGTCTGAAAAATGGTTTTATGCTTAGACCGTTTCTTCAATTCAAGTCTTGTTCAAGAGGCTGTGCGTGAGTGACGCAGTAGAATGCCTGTTTCCTGGATTACCCACGTGTATCTTACTTGCCCGTGTATATAATAAGGTCTCTATTTCATTTCGTCTTGCCACACCAAAGTGCATCATGGTATCCAACGAATACCATGGTGATGGAAAGGCTAGAGTCTGGAATTTATGAGCTTAGTTATAGTTGTACCATCTTGCAGAACTTCTTCACGTTCCTCAATCTTGTAGCCACATATATTTGGTATCAAAACAGTCCAAATATACCAGTACACAACGCCGCCGGCGAGACTTTTGGTACGTTAGTTGACAAAAGGGTATTGGGACGAGTCGAAAACGGTTACTCACATGCTTGCTCCAACAATTGCGTAAGTGGCATAGAACATGCCGTTTTTTGGCTTAGTGTCGGGTGGGAAGAATGGCGCAGCAAGGAGAGCAAAGCTCAATCCGATCCGCAACACCACTGCTGGGATCCACGCTTTGAAAGGCCTCTTCAGGTCGGGTCGCCGCCAACGTAGCCACAGAAGACCAGCCCCGACAGCAAGCGCTAAGAACTGACCTGGGTATCCTTCGACTTCTAGAATGAAAGAGTAAACCTCTCCAGATGGAGGGAGAGTTATTACCAGAAAGGATGGGATAAAATGGACCAGCAATCCGCCCAAAGGTGAATTGAATGGTCTCGTCGAGGATATTATGCTAGAAAACGGGAGGAAACCTTGTCTAGCAATCTCCTGTTTAGTACGGGCCTAGACGGCTATTAGCAACCTGAACCAAGTCGAATGATGCTTTTGGATGCTTACCGCAGAGAAAGCAACGACAAGGACGTTAGCCCCAGCGCTTAGCGCAACAGCCAACGGGAGGATGGTTTTGCCAACTCCCTCGCCAAAAGTTCGTGCAAAGAACAGAGCCGCTATAAGCTCACCGCTCTCTTTGATTTCCTCGGCAGGCACAATGAGGAAATACGCCACGTTGGTGAGAGTGTACAGCCCGCACGCAGTGATTAGGGCCGCCGTTGTCACTGACCGCAGCGTCCGCACTGGGTCCTTGACCTCGTTTAGAACATAGTTGGCGTTGTCAAGGCCAGAATAGGAGTAAAACACTTTGAACAGAGAAGTTGCAATAACACCCCAGTTCCAATTCGTGTCCTCCCAAAGATTTCCCCACGAGACGATGGCAGATGTTGACCGTGCCGATTCGGTGGGCGGTCGGAATAAAATAACATAAAGACCAGAGAATATCATGAAAACGACCAAACCCACTTTGATCCATCCTAGAAGGTTTTGTAACTTGACGCCGAAACGCGGAAAACATCCATGAATGGTAGTGACAGCGGTGAGCAGTGCAACTGCAAGTCCCTTTCGAAGAAAGTCGCTTGGATTTTCGCCACCAACAGCAAATAGCAGGTACTCGCTGAACACGATACAGTTGCTTGCCGTAAATCCCAAGAGAACAACTTGAATGGCGATGAGTGTTGACGCCAAAAAGCGTGGTCGACGATACGTAAACTCCAAATAAACTTTGTCGCCTCCAGATCGTGGAAGCATGGTACCAAACTCAAGCGAGACCATCAACCCACAAGCAGCAACGATGGCACCAACGACCCATAGTAGGAGTGCCAGACCCGGGCTGCCGACTGAGCGAAGGATTGCGCCAGGAGTAGCGAAAATGCCGCTGCCTATGACTCTGGAGATAACGAGGATGTATGCGCTCTGCCAAGTCAATGTGCGGCCAAGTGTTGATGTCTCTGGAAGCACATCATCCTCCACTGATCGGGTTGGACGGAGGCTCCCAGTGACGATTTCCTCCTCCCTTGACCCTCCTACTTTGCCTATTGAGTGCTTGACGTCCGGGACTGTTGCTGTAGACGATAGATGAGACGCCGTGGGAGATAGTAGAGGTCGCCGCTCGGGGTGGTCGAGGGTGTTCATGGCGGCCTTTTGTTTGTAGCACCAGTAAGCGGATTGTGCGAAGTTGAAATTCTGGTCAAGTTAGGTAGGAGAGGAGAGCATTCGGGAAGAGGTAGACGCTGAAGCTTGTATGCCGGATGCTGAGAAATCTACCTTGCAGCACCGCCGTGTAGAGTTATATGTTTCCAGCCGGATAAGGATAACGCGATAGCAAGAGAGTTTAGTGGACATGGATGTTTGGTTCAGCATCGCGGCACACATGTGACATACGTGATGGATCAAAAGGGGGTCAAAGGGATGTCAGCAGCAAATGGCGCATGTCCTCGGATGCTTCTTCCTGATAAGAATGTGGGTAAACCATCGCACCAGACTCGACCTAAAAGGGATGTCTCGAATAGCGTAATCATGTTTCAAGAAGGTGAGTTTCATAGGCAGAGCACAGAATGTCCATTTTGTGTTTGACGCGGATTCGCACGCCATCATGGCGCAAGGTCACGAAAATTGTTGGGGTCTGGTCTTCAACCTGGCTGACATATGGACAACGCCTCCATTTGGGTTCAGCTGCGCGGGGTTCTAAGCAGTGGTGCCGCTGGAGCCCCCACCTCGGCCTTGTTGTTCACATGGACAGTTGTGGCTACGGGCCGACCTCTAGCTTCCAGGGTCGCAGCCAAAGCTTCCCCCTGGTTGTCTTACTGGTAGTAGTACTATGGCACAAAATGCTTCTTCCAAAAGGTTGGCCTCCGGCTTACCCGGGCGACTCAAAGCAGTCAACAATTCTTACAAATGTGTAAGTATTCCAATCCATACTATTTCTTGCAACCTATAATTAGTAAATTGGATACTTTGCTTGTTTTACAGAGCTCTCTTTTCTGACATGCAGCAATGTAGACTTCCAAACCACCAATCGTCTCGAAAACGGAATACAAGTCATAGTACACTGGTCTTCCGAATCCCAAACAGAACGTGCTAACGTATATGCATAGCGAGTCGCCCATCATAGCGAGCCGCCCACTTTTCCTTAATTCTACACTCTTCACCTTCACAACAACCTTCCTCTACGTACGACCATGAGTTCCTCTTCAAATGAAAGTCGCATTATCCTTGCAATTGAAGCTATTAAAAAGGACCCAAAACTATCCGTTCGAAAAGCAGCTTCTATCTATAAGGTCCCGAGAACTACACTTCGCGACCGACGCGCTGGACTTCTACCACGACGCGAAACTCGTACGAATTCAATGAAGATGACTCAGGTGGAAGAAACTGTGATTCTTGAACGAGTTATTGACCTGATCGATCGAGGATTTCCACCGCGACTTGACGACGTACGAGATATGGCCGATTGTCTCCTTGACGAACGTGACGCGACGCGTGTCGGACCGCGATGGGCAGAGAACTTCGTACGACGCCAACCACAACTAAAGACGCGTTTTCGACGTAGAATCGACTATCAGAGGGCATTGGCTGAAGATCCTGCAATTGTGCAGGCCTGGTTTGCCCTCGTACGAAACACAATCGCGAAGTACGGAATACACGATGACGATGTCTACAATTTTGATGAGACGGGCTTCTTGATGGGAATGCTGTCGCACGCAAAGGTTATTACAACCTCTGACCGCCGTGGAAGGCCTCGTACGAAGCAGCCTGGCAATCGCGAATGGGTTTCTGTCATTCAGGGCGTATGTGCAGATGGCTGGGCGCTGCCTCCATACGTCATTGTTAAGGGCAAATATCACCTACTCTCATGGTATACCAATGGCCAATTCCCACCCGAATGGCGCGTCCACCCTAGCGAAAATGGATGGACTACAAATGAGATTGGCCTAGATTGGCTAAAACATTTTGAAAAGTGCACAAAGTCTCGCACGAAGGGTGTTAAACGGCTCCTAATCCTTGATGGCCACAACAGCCACAAATCCACCAAGTTTGACGATTACTGCAAGGAACACGGCATTATTGCTCTTTGCATGCCTCCGCATTCATCGCACGAGCTTCAGCCTCTTGATGTTGGCTGTTTTAGTCCGCTGAAGGCTTCATATGGCAAGGAAATCGAGAAGATGATGCGGATGCAGATTACGCACATTACTAAGGATGATTTCTTTCCTGCCTTCAAGGCAGCCTTTTTTACTTCAATAAGCAAAGAAAACGTACAAGCTGGTTTTAGACAGGCTGGCCTTGTACCATTCGACCCAGAAGCAGTTCTTTCCCGCCTGGATTTCAAGCCAAAGACGCCAACACCATCCAACTCATGCCCAAGCAGCCAGGGCTCCTGGGACCCAAAGACACCAACCACAGCACATGACGCCGTACGAAGCTCTGCTTCACTTAAGAAAAGAATCACTAGTCATCAAGATAGCTCACCAACTCATTTGTACGAGGTTGTTGATTTGCAAGCTAAAGGTATTAGCAAGTTAGCACACAAACTAGCTCTTGTTGAAGCCGAGTGCCGCGGGCTTCGTACGGCAAATGAGATACTAAGTAAGCGCCGGAGAGCTAAGAAAACCCAACTACGTCTTGGAGGGTCACTTAATACAGCTGAAGCTGAGGCAATACGGGTAGAAAAGGGGGTTGTTGATGCTGGAGGCGAAAACATGCGTCAAGAGGGTGCTCGTACGGAGGGGGGTGAATCGCGCGGGCGGCGATGTGGTAACTGCGGAAAGACTGGACATAATGTACGAACATGTCAGGTAGTTTGGGAGACCTCTGAAGAAGAGGCTGATGAGTAGTTTCAATTGATTTCGTACGATGTGGCTTAATTGACTTACACAAATGGCTGGAGGGTAGTGAAAGGTGGGCGGCTCGCTATGATGGGCGACTCGCTATGCATATACGTTAATGTAAAAGTCTAAACTTTCGATGGACAATACGCGACCAACCACCAGTGCTAAGAATGAGAGCGACAGTGCGCCCGCCCGTCCTCTTGTAATCCACATTGCTACAGGCCCGCATTTGAGCGTCCCTCCCCGGAGCAATCTCCGTTCTTCCGCGTCTGATGGTGTTAACCGATGCCAGATTACCGAGCCGTCACTCCGCAGATCTCGGAGGCAGGTTCGTGTGCGATTCGTGCTCGCTAGTATTCTTCGCCTTTGGTATTACTACTATCACTAACTTTAGCACCGCCTAGGTTGAATGCAAGTAAGGAAACCACATTTAGCTCTCCGGAACAATAAACCAGGGAAATTCTCTTTTGTGATTTCTATTTAAAAACCCCCAGACAAGTTCGTTGGTATCCTCGTTGACAAGATGGACCTACTCGAACAACGCGTGTGAATTCATGTCGATCCGGATCAAAACCTGTGGCATAGATTGGCGTCGTCTCCTTATAGAGGCATCCTTCTCGAGTAATGGTTTGTTACGCACGAGTAGGTCTGTTCTCGACCATCAGGTTGACATGATCCTCGACGAGATATTTGGCAATCTTGCGGATGCTAGCCTTCGACGACTGGATCAAAGTGGCTTTGCATGTGGTGAGATTTCCATGGAAGCCTGGCCTCGACTACCAGATAAATATGGCTAAACATCGTCAACAGCTGTCCATGAGGGAGTAAAACAACAGCGAGCCCAAGAGACTCTTTACAATCGAGAAGACTTACTGAAAACTCAACTACTTTAGCGTGAGTTCCTGATTGCAAAGCAAGCTATCACGCTCATCATGACTCGCCTTAGGGCTCTGTCTCTCTTTTCACCAATGGTCCGCTCGGGATGGGTAGCCAACTGCTGCCATAATACATCAACACATGGTGGTTTCGATTTTGGCTGCGATGATCTTGCCGCTGACTGCCGAGTCGCATGATAATTGGCAAAATCCTTCCGCGAGACACATGTCGGACTCCATGGCTGCTCGCTCGGAAACACTACTACTAGTATCATTGACGTTTCTTTAATCGACCCTTGCATAGATAGTCCCTGGACTTGCTTTAAACTGATGTATCTTGTCTGCTAGGTATTCGGCAGCAAGCCACTCAGCATCTCGAAGTACGCAACTATCAATTTCTTTTGGTAAACAATTTCTTCAAACTTTTGAGCTAGCCTTGTAATACTAGTATTTATAACTGTCAAAGTGACAGACGCATTACCCACCCAAAACAGCGAACCATTTCTGAAATAGAGGGCTAATAATCCAGGACGCTTTTCGGTGTCCTAATAGGCACAACACGCAGTAATTTGCATTTTCACTCGATTTCTTCCCAGGACATAGAAGCGGGGACGCCTTCGTGCCGATCATCGATCGAGTTTTTCAGCCCTTTCCATTCCGTTGATTCTGGGTGGCACGATGTCCGCTAGAGGCCTGTTTTGTCATCCGCTACCCCGGGAACCCCCCGAGACAGTTGTTACGATCTTGCCACCAGCTCTACTGCAAACCACTCTACTCCAAATTTCGTAAAATCATAATTCCTGTGGTTCATGGGGATCTCTCCATGATTGGAGACATGTACAACGATAATATTTTGTAACATGGTTTGACGTGTAAATGTGAACAGATTTGCCTGGCCAGGACCGTTCGCTGGAACAAATGGTTGTAGATGATGAGCATGCCAGCCTTGCACATTGGCCAAGACGTACAGGCAACTTCATCTGGCTGATACGTTTTCATTCTTCACATTCTATGTTACATTACACCTCCACACATCAAAATGCCATTTTCTTCACCGGTTATTGATGATTAAAAGAACGAACATAGGCATTAATTTATTAGTATCAACATTTTCTACAGTCCCTGGTATATTCACTCTGTCTCATTGCCCTCAATAGGAGTTATCTGTAATCTCGATTACATTAACAATCTGTCGTTCCGTAGCTTACATGTTCATGTAAGCGGCCATGCCTCCGAAAAGAGCAGCAGCGCCTACAGCAGCAGTGCGCATGGGAGCAGCCTCAGTGGAAGAGGAGGTGGTGCGGACACCGCCGCCGTCGTTGGCGCCGGTCTCAGTCGCCACAGGGGCGGTGGAGGTAGGGCCGGTAACACCGCTGGTGAACGGGTTGCTGCCGTCAGTAGCAGGACCGGCACCGGTGTACGCGGGAGGGCGGCTCGTGGCGGTGGTGTCGGGCTCGGCCGCGGTGTTGTTAGGGTTCAAAAGGCTGGCTTCGTGTTAGCTTGGCAAACTCTGTTCAAGGTATCGGACGAACTTACTTGTCAATGACATGCACGACACCGTTTGCAACTAGGACGTTGGGGATAACAACCTCGGCGTTGTTGACGTAGACGGTTTCGTTGATGACGCTGACAGTGATATTGGCGCCGTTGAGGGTGGTCAGGGAGGTGTTGGTGATATCGGGGCTGTAGAGAACAGAGCCGGCGACAACGTGGTACTGGAGAATGTTGGGGAGCTCAGAGCCAAGGGTTGCGGAGAGGTTACCGATGGCACGGAAGGCCTCGTTGTTGGGGATGAATATGGTCAAGTCCTTGGCAGAAGTGAGGGCCTCAGTGACGTTGGCGGCCTGGACGGCACCCAAAGCTGCAGTGAGGTTGGCGGCACGGAGGGTGTCAGCGATACCTTGAGGGACACTCAGGACCTTGTCAATCACGTGAATGGTACCGGCGGTGAAGTTGACGTTGCCGGTCGTGACGGTCGAGTTCTCTCTCAGAGCCGAGTAGAAGGTGACGTTGCCGTCTACGGTCTGGGCCTGAACGCGCTGGCCGCCGGTGATGTTGGCGTAGGTCTGGTTCTGGAGGAGAGTGGGGATGAACTGGGGCTCCTCGGTGAAGTTGGAGGCGTAGTATGTGCCGTTCAGGACGTGGTACTGGAGAATGGCGGCAACGAGGCCAGCGTCGGTAGCGGCAGCGCCGGCACTTGCGATGAATGCCTCGAGGGCCTCATTGCTCGGGGCCAGGATGGTGATGTTCTGAGCCTGCGAGAGAGCCTGTACAAGGCCGGGCTGGGTACCAAGAAGGCCTGTTGGATGTTAGAGGCGTTCTTATAAACACAACGAGAGGCCACCGATGATCACGTACTAGTAAGCGACGACAAGCTCGAGTTCTGGGAAGCCAGAGCGGCGGTCAAGTTCTGCTGGGCGCCGTCCTGGGCGAACGCAACGCCGGCCAGGGCCATGGGAATGATGTTCTTGATCTGCATGATGTGCCTCGTGGTATGGAGGAACTTATTTGGACGATGGCTGGAGTTTGTAGAAAGGGAGAGACGGGATATCAAAGAGCTATGCGAGTCCGAACCTGTAGAGCCAAAACATTGAGGGAGCAGAAGCGGCAGAGGGGCCAGTCTTTAAGCATTGTGCGAGCTCCCGGCTCACTCGACGCGCCCCGGGGCACGAATCATGACAAACACCTTACTGAGGATCCTGCTGGGGGTGACCAATCCCGTCGTTGTGGGTTACCATATCAAGCTTGTTGCCCAGGCCGAACAAGACTCACAGCTCGTCCGGGTTTCTTGCACCCCAGACAAGGGTCTTGGTCTACATCACGGCCAAGCCAGGAATTGGGACTGAGACTGGAAGGGTGGGGAGGCAATAGGACTGGGTGTGGAGCGAAGAGGCATCCCTGCCTCGCGACACAGCACGATGCTGGAGACTGGCTGATGAGCGGTTTGCGCTAGATCGCCGGCCAGAGGTGCCAAGTCGATCGTGGAGGTGATGCTTTTGGCCGGCGTATAGGCGGGACGAGGTACACACACCACCTCGGTAAAGATCAGAAAAAGCCCAATGCGGGTTCTGAGCTTTTTAGGCTTCCTTCCAATATGCAGACGAACAGGCTGTTCCGTGTCTTGTTCAATTGCTTAGGAGCTCTTGGAGCTCCCGGCTGCTAACAAGCCATGTACGTAACGAGCAGATGGTACAACAAGTGGGAGCTGTCCGTCTGAACATGCAATTCCCGGGCCCCATGACGGACGAATTGGCATTCCCCGAGGCAGGAAATCGGGAAACTACCAGAAATATGCGGAATGCCAGGAATCGCCTGACATCTTGGAGCCGGCTCAGTGGCCATTCAAAGACATTGAAGACATATGGACGCCATTGGCAGCACGCCGTGTCTTGGGAGCTGCGTAAGCTTGCGCCAGTCGGGCGCAGCGCAGGAAAATCGATGTCGTCAGGACAGACGGCTTAGCGCCATTGAGACCGGGAGGGGCTCCGATGGCGCCGGCGACGAGCCGTTCTGGTGTGCCACTGTTCTGTTCTGGGGGGGTGTCGGAGACGCGAAGACAACACCGGGAACCCATGTTTTGTTAGTCATGTCATTTCAGCGGAGACGAACATTGGAGGAGAAGGCATCCGCAAGCTTCCTGCCTTGCAACTCATCCTCCCTCGCGGGTTTTCGTTTACCGCCATGTGCGAACCGAGCCTTGACAGGGATGCGAGATGGCGACTTCATGATATCGTCCACTATCTGCTGCTGTGGTCTAAGCGGAACAATAACACAAGAAGAAAAAAAAGGGTACAATCGGCGCAGAGTTAGAGTGACACCGCATCCGCTTCCCCGCATCCCCCAGCTGCCACCCAATGCAGGGCCATTCGGGCCATTCCCGTTCCTCCTTGGCTTCCCCCCAGTAGGTACCTCGTTTCCGTGGTGTTCCAGTGAGTGTTCCCCGGCCCATCGAGACACGCATCCGCAAATGGACTAGGGTGTTGTTGAATGGAAGAATAAAAAGCGCGGCCAAGCAAGTAACAGCATAAGCTTCTTGGGTTCCAAGAGCTCCACAGGGCCGGCTGTGCCGACTGATGCCCGTCGTCTCGGTAGACTTGTGTGATGATATGGGCAAATCGCTGCGTCATCGATAGACCTGAACGATCGCGACTTTGGCGCTTGTTGCATCGTTTTTCTCTACGGCGCATTCCTCCTGGCGCAGAATGGCGGCTTGGCGGCTGCATGCTGACTGGCCCTGTCCCTTGCCTCGGGCACTCTGAAAGCAATAGATTTGAACCCGTTGAGGCCTCCGCGCATGTCTAGACGAACTTCTCACAAGGCACCAAGGAAAACTCCAGCCACCACCCAATGGCGGGGCAGAGCGCGCGTTTCGAAGTAAGAAGACGAGGAAGCCGGGTCATGGCTACGTAGTCGTGGATCAACATCCTAGGACGACTGCGTGAACGAGGGGTAAACAGAAATAATTTGGGTATCGCTTCTCGTATGTATGAATTGGGACATCCCGTCCGGTCCACTCACGTTTTGTGGCTTTGCGCAAGTCAAGCATACCTGGACCTCATCACGCCATGCAGCATTTTGCGCAATTTTGTTGCCCGATGACAGTACAGGCAGTTTCGCAACCCAGCCAATCGTTCCCTTCTCTATCCCAACGAGGGCCCAAAGACGTCGTCGCCCTCGGTGACCTTCCTCCGTTTGGGATCCCGCGCCCCGTTCCCGCCGAGTGCTCCGCCATCTCCACCGAACAAGGCACCGTCTCCCTCGGCCTTTGTGCGTCGAGAATCCTTCTGCGTCGCCAACTCGCGCCGAGCCTTCTGCAGAGCCACAAGATCTGCACGATCGGGATCTCTGCACTTTTTGAGCTTTCGTAAAAGCGGCTTGATCAACTTTGTACTCTCCGGCTGTGCCACTATGTCAGCCTTGTCGCATATCACGAGAGCGGACCCTTGTCATCTTTGGGACTCGGCCTAGGACGACTTACAGTTCCCCAATACTCGTCCAGTCTCTCCGGAGGCTCAGTCGCTAGCAATTCTCGGCATGATTCTATTGCGCCCATCACCTTGTCTCGCAAGTCGTGTCGCGGTGTGGTGTCCATTCCATCATCATTCGAGGTACCGTTCTGGCTAGGGGCAAAAGCTCCCTGGACCAGTCTCTCGGCCAATCCTCGATCGGCAAGCGAGAGCGAAGCCAGCATGATTTGGCTCGGCGTGTAATGGAAGTATGCATCGGTGACGAGGGAGCTGAACTTAAGAACAGCTCGGGCACGAAAATGGGCCGAGTCGATTCGGGCTTTCTACACCGCTTGTCAGCAACTCCTTGTGAATATGAAAAGTCCTTCACGTTCAACGCACCTCGAGGTCGGCGTGTCGCCGCAGTTCCAGTATAGCTCCTTCTAGCGCACGGAACGGATGTCGGACGTCAAACGCGAACCGCACACCCTGACAAAGCAGGAACTCCCCGGCCAGAATCTCCTCCTCGGTCGTATTGGGAAACTTCTCTGCGAGTTTGGCAAGCCGTGTGTACAGCCCTTCGGCCTTGCTGCCGAAAAACAAGCACGTCTTGAGGACGTCTTGGGGCGGGTACGTCATGATGGAGTTGGTGACATAGAAGCGGCGCAAGAAAACGGTCGCGGTGGCTCTGACTTCGGTGGGTAGACCGCAGAAATCGGCCGCGCGAATAAGATCCACCGTAAAGACTTTCAGCAGCTGTGTTTCTTCGACAGGTGTCAAGAACTCGGGCAAAGACTCGACTTCAGGGTCGATCCGTTTCGTCTCGATGAGGCGGCTGGTGATGTGGGTTCGTGCAAGCGAGTTCGTCTGTTCGCGTAATTCTGCCAATTTCGATGGGGAGAAGGACCACAAGCGGTATTGCGTCGAGAGTCGGTAACGCGCATCTTCGGTTGCCATGGCGGCGGATTCGTGCTAGGAGGTGGCGATGCGATCAAGCGTGGGCAGTTGAAAGAAGTAGGGTCGTGAACAAGGTCAATTCAATTCCTAAGCAGTCGCAGGGGCCAGGACGAGTGGCAGTCTTGCCGCGGTGATCGAGGCTCTCTCGGCAAAGAGAAACTGGAGGTGACAGCCGGAGTTGAATTCAGCAAGCGTTGAACTGAAGCTGACGATTGACGTACAGAAAGTGCAACCAGATCGATCTTATCGTTGCCAATCAGATAGGTACCAAACGGGAAGCTTGAGCCACACTCTAATTCACGTGATGTGGCTTGACGACCCCCGCCGTCGGCCGAGTCCGGCAGCTACGGGCTTTCGGAACGGTACTGATTGACAGACTCGGTGGCTTCGTAGCACGTCACTTGTCAAAGAAGACACTGGGGGATTGTTTTAATATTGCAAGTTGATCAGATCAGACCCAAAAAGCAGACATGAAGGAAGGGCAGCTGCAATCGCAGCACAACGTTCTGCATGACGAAGTCTCACTGGTTCGATTTTGCCTGCATCCTCGCTCTATGCCAAACAACCGCACATGTAAAGTTGAGCACGTTCGGTTAAGGAAACTTGTGAGATAGCATCCATATTTGGAACCCTACTGACCCTTGAACCCGGGCATCTCTAACCCATACCTTCTCAGCAGAGATAATGCGGTGAAGGAACCTACCACTGCGGATCCAGTCCACGGATATCAACACGCCCAAACGCCGTGCTCCTGTCGGAGGCCCCCATTCCAGCTAGGAATGAACAGTCTATATTGATGCAACCAGACGGAAACCAAATATCACACACCGCTACGCCAAACCCGCAAGCCTCTCCGTTTACCGATGAGGCTCAAAAAGCGGAGTATATCTAGTACCCAACCTCCCGCTTGGCGGGGATTGGGGGCGCCGGCTTCTTGGCTCGGCTCGGAGGAGGTGGTGGAGGCGCTTTCTTGGACTGGAGGTTGCTTGTGCTTCTAGTCAAGCTGCTGCCCATACTAGTCGCCGGGCTTGCGCTGCGGTCGTTCCATTCCGGGCTGCCGCTGCCGCTCACCGTCATATGATCGTCGTCACGGTCGGCAAAGACGTCGCTGGCGAGTGGTCTGCCCGTAGGTCTCAGATTTCCGCGCAGAGACCCAATGTGAGAAACGCTGGGCACCGGAGGCGTGGCGGCGACAGAGCGTCGATCAGCAGCAGCGGGACCCTGGAACGTCTGGGACCTAGCAATGGACGGTCTCGGGGTTGTGTCTGCCGAAGCACCATACTTGGCATCGGACCGATTGGAGCGGATGGGCATGCGGACAGGCATCGGTTCGGGCTCTTCCTCGACGTGATGATTGCCGCGGGCGGAATAGTCGGTGAAAGACCGTGCCGTATTGGACCTTCCGCGACCGTTGTTGTAGCGCCGGTCGGTGGGCGATGACGGTACATTGCCTCCAGCCCAGTTCTGGCGCAGACGGCGCAGCTCTTCGGTGCAGCGCTCGTGGTAGCTTAGCTCGGCATCGAGGAGGCCTGTCAAATCGCGGACGTTGTCGGTCTCAGCATCCTTGATGTCCTGCATCCGTCGCATGACATCCTCGCCAGCTTCCTCGTACTTGGCGCGGGCGGTGCGGAGCTCCTCTTCGAGACGGAAATCCTCACGCTTCGCCTTCTGCATCTTGCTGATACTCGCATCGTAGGCCAATCGGCGCGACTCGAGCTTCTTCCGTGCGGCCTGCGGAGAGTGTGTCAGATGGGACGGGCTGAAACCACGATTGGGCGAGCAATGACGTCGGTACGTACCTGGTACTCTTTCATCATAGCCAGCGACCTCTCGACAGAGACGAGCCAGTTGTCAGTGACCTCGGAGGCATAGTTTTCCTGGATGCCCGCGAGGCGTTCGTTTGTTCGACCAAGAGCTGTGGTGCGAAGCCAGGTTAGTGCTGGTTGCTTGGGGTAGCAAGGAGTGTAGAAAGGGGAAACATACAGAGCAGACAGGCGCCGAACTCGGAGTCAGGCTCGAACTCCTCGCCATGGGAAATCATCATGCGACCGACGAAGGCAATGGGAAGCCCCTTCTCCTTGTCTTCGGTGGCCTCGCCGCGGCGAGCAATCCATTTGACGTATGTGTTTGTGGACTTCTGGAGTCTTTCCATTCCTAGCAGACCAAGGTGTTAGTATCGGCAACACGCACCCGTTAAGCGCCTGGGTAGGTGGCCAGGATCCGTACCATCATATCGCAACTGCATCTCCATCTCCAAGTTCCTGAACTCGTCCGTCTGGCCTGTCTTGGACTCGGAGCCCATCTTTTCACCGGCCCATTGGAAGGCGCGGTCGAATTTCTTGGTGAAGTTCATTGTTGCGGTTGACTTTGTCTGCTGCTGGGGAATCGGTTGAGCGAGGGTAAAGGGTCGATTAAGGGTGCTTCGGATCGTCGACGGTGGTATTAGGAGATCAAGTCGAAGATAGGTTCGGTCGATGCCAGCATTCAACGGGTTGTGGTAGAGAATGGGTAATTGTTGGTTGTTGGGGAAAGTCGGCAGAAATCGCTTGGGGCGTCGTAAAGTGAGGGCGGCTGTGGATGACGACGGAGGGAGATGGGAGCAGGAGGTCCTGGAGCAATGGGTAGAAGAGAGGGTTTGGTGGCAAGAAGGATATCACACAGGTCGACAATGCATGGACCAGGAAATGGAACGGTTTGGTAGGCGGTGCCCGTGAGGTACTCTGTAAAGCAGACGAGGAAGAAAAGAGAGGGCCGTGGAATGAGGAGGGGGTGGGACGAAGGGGGATGGCAGACGATTATAAAAAAAAAAAAAAGAGAGAAGGGACGGCGCTGGGATCTGGGAGCTGCCGATGGGAGTAGAGTGAGTGTGTGCGGGACGGTTGATGGGGAAAAGCCTCCGTTAGAAGAAGGTAGGCACAGGCACAGCAAAGCACAGCACAGCACAGCGGTACATTAAGCAAACAGGTGCAGCAGATGCAATTGTTGGTCCGGGCTATGGGCCAGAAGGCAGAGGGGGAGGGGGGAAGAAGGGCGCGAGGTATCCGTATCCGTGGCAGAAAATATCCGTAACTGTCCTGATGCTGAGGAGCGTGGAGGTATGCGCGTGTATTCTGTCCAGTTCCAGGTCTCCCAATGCTCTGGTGGAGTGAGGTGCTGTTCTGTTGCGGGAGGTGGGTTTTGGAGGCAAGCTAAGGCACGAGCTAAGGCATGCAGGTACGTATCGAGTGGGGTGTGTCGGGTGTCACTCTCTGCCCCATGGACTCTTCACTCGCCTTCAGGCAAGGAAGGGGTGTGGGCAGCAGGAGGACACTTGATCTGGGGGGAGGGGAGGGGACACACGACAGCAGAAATGAAATACAGTGGATGGCAGGCACACAGGGTAATACGGAGAGGAGTTCGGTAGGGGACAGACGGAGACAGAGAAGAAAGAGGGCGAGAGTGGGCGCGAGAGGCGTTAGAGGCCAGTGGCCACAAGACATTCAGAGTTCAAGCTCAGAGTTTGAAAGTCGACGGGATGCAGTGTACAGATACGTACCTTATCCATCCACATCCTGGGCTGCGTTGCGTTGCTTTGCGTTGCGTAGGCATAGTAGACGGGCAACCCGGAGACGTTTCCCATGTTTGCCGTTACGGTTCCTGCTCGGTTCTGCTGCTGCTGCTGCTTCTGGCGTCTTATCGACAGGTGCACACCACTCACCCTCACGTCCGTCGGGCCTCGCATGCATGAAGAACTGAGCGGATGAGAGCAGACGTAAAAAGTGCCTTGGGATCCTGGCCACCCGCCTTCCTCATTCGCACGGTGGTTCGATCCGTTACACATACGTACGTACGTACCTCTGTAGCGGACAGACTTCAAGCAAGCAAGGAAGCAAGCAATAGCACATTGGGCACACCACCGAATATCACCTCAGTTTCCCGGTTTTCCAGCCGGCTGGCCTGTCATATCTCGAGCGGGATCCAACATTGACAGGTACCTTGGATTGCTGAGCCGCTGGGGAATATCAGTGCAACGAGAGCAGGGGGTCAACCGCCGACCGGGGGGTTGGCCCCACTCTCTCAGGTTCGAGAATGGAAAGAGATTGGAGGCGGGGTACGGCGCAGGCCAGGCGGATGGCGTACCTGTCAACAAGAACGACCTTACTGCAGGCGATGCCCAGGCCGCAAGTGCATGTATCTCTTCTTCAACGGTACCTCTCTCCCAGCTTCCAGGTTGACGACAGAGGGGGGCAATGGGAGAAGGCAGGAGGAAAGGGTCCAGCCCAGAGGGTCAACGGCGGCGGCGCCTTCAATGGGCACAATGGCATGCTTCCAGGCGGTTGATCTGAGTCGCCCATGCTGCCAAGCAGCACGCGGACAAGGCCTGGATCGCGGCAGCTGCATCTGTTAGCATCTAGGTAGGTACCATAGTAGTAATATTGCTGGCTGGCCTGTTGGCCACCGCAGGCCGGGTTGGTTGGCAGCTGCAACCCGCATTCGAGTCTGCACTGCACCAATCTGGCTGCATCTGCCCACCCACTCACCTGGCGAGTTGACTATCTATCTGCACCCAACCAGCATCTTTTCCGTGCATTGCAGCTGGCGAGCTCGCCAGAAAGAAAATGGTCGGAGGGATCAGGTGGAGGCTTTTAGCCGTATTCGACTGTCGTCTCCGACGGCGCGGATTCCCTTAGCGAAAAAGGAGGGAGGGGCAACAGGCTAGAGAGATGGTAGACACATCTCGCAGTATCCTAGGCCTGCTGATATGAAGGGAGCCGAGGGGAGCCCCGATGTGGAGGACGTGGGAATTGCCTCAATTGCGTACAATTCGATGAAAGGGGGTCGTTGGTTCTTGCTCGACTCGTTAATCTGCCAGGTTACTGTCTGCGCTACTTTTACGTGCCTGCAAGCCAAACGAACAGCTACGTACCTCGTCCACTCGACCAAAGCCGGAACGATTCTACAATGGTACATAGTACCTTCTCAGATGTGACTCTCGAGGGAAGGAGACACCAGAATGGACGTCCCAAGTGGCTGGAACAGGCCGGCCCCGTTAGCTGAAAAGCGCAGCTGCCACAAGCCACCCTATCACCAACGGCCCTCTTCTCTCTCTCTCTCTCTCTCGTCACAGCATCGGGAATGGCAGGGACACGTCGTGCGCGACATCTCATGCTCACACGCTCCCTCGCGCAGTCCATCGACCATTCCAGCCGTTCTGCGCTCTAGCGCCCGTACAGCGATTCCTCCCTGCGGAGCAACGGCAGCGAGCTCTTATCCTTGGGCAGGTTTTCCGGATTCTCTTCAAACCAACCCGGAGCGTAGCTAAAAACAGGGCCAATGGCAGCCACTCCTCTGCCGTTTCTCAACTTCCAGTGCCAGGCTGTTTGGTTTCTCCGGATTTTCTCCAGTGGGCACGCCTGCGCCTCGGGGCGTGGGCCGTCTATCACACACTTGCCGTTACAATGATTGCCTCCCGGCGGTTGATGAGCAGTCTCGCCGGCGCCATGTCCGTCGCCATGGACAAGTCATGTCGCGGGGACTTTGATTCGACACCACCCACTCCCGCAGTTGAGAGTGACTAGCGGGCCTAGCGCTGGCTTGTTCTCACTTCTCCGGCGCAAGGAAGGATTTGCTGCGCTTGTCGCTCTCCCCCATCTCCCGCAGTTTGGGACTAGAAACCTATTAGCCAGTCGAGTGGTCGAGACGACTCGCTCAATACGCGCAGCGCACACCACCATCTGAGCCAGGATCCAGGAACCCGAGCCGATCCCCTCCACTGACCACCCACACAGAGCAATGGCTGTGCTAAATCGAGACAGGCTGGGTGGGACCCCGTCGGTCCTCGTCGTCTCCCCCGTCGTCTCCCTTTTCACGTCTATCCACCGTCCCGTTGAACGCTACTCTGAGGGTCCAAAGGAGCACAGGAGGTCTCACCGGGGTTTGTTTCCCTTGTCTCCCCTACCTCGTGGCATTTGTGCCCCCTGACCCAGCTTGGTCGGGAGCCTGTGAGACGGGACTGGTGAGAGTGCACGTTGGGACAACTTGATTGGCAGACGGCACCATGTGCGAGCACTTTTGGAAAGCCAAGATGGCAATGGTCTCACTGGGCTCACCCCAGCTCTGCGGCCCTCGGCTCGGCGGTCTCGTATCGACTGCTCTGCTTCAATAAAAAAATTATAAAAAAAGCACTGGGCTGGAATGCTTCTCTCTTGGGTGCGGACGGGCCATGCTGACTTCACTTTTCTGACGTCGGCTCGCCCAGTATTGCTTCGTGAGATGGGATGGTGAACGAAACCAGCTATGGCTATGATGCGAACACACTCCATCAATCGAAAACCACAGGCTGTCGCTAACTTTGCAGGTTCCATGCGTCACGTGAGGAGGCGTAAGAGAGACTAGATCCAAGCGTCTGCCAGCAGCCGCCAATGGCCCAGGCCATTCTATGCATTAATATCCACCTAACAGAACCAGCAGCTAGATGGCAAGCGCAGGCGCTAGTGGTAAAAGTAGATAGACGTGTCTGCCACCTGCCATCTGCCAACCCGTCACTTGCCACCTACGACTCACTGATGCTCCGGAGGATCGAGGACGACGTGGAGGGAGTCAGGTGCGCCCCGCTCCTGCCCTTTGAATGGATGTTTGAGGTTGAATCGGTCTCATCTCTTCAAGGAAGGAAGGAAACAGCCAATGGCTGGCACCGAGCGGATTGAACAAGCCGCGCTGTTGAATTGCCTCTCCCACCCTCCCTCTGTTTCTCTCTCGCCTTGGCGCTGGTGTCGCCGCATTGCAGTAGACCCGGCATTGGTGATCGGGTGTTTGGTGGTTTACCGTCGACGGGTATTCCTACTTCAAGTCAGGCGGCCAACGCCAGCCAGCGACGCCGTTCCCATCCCTCATCAAACCCCATGGAGGTTGCCCTCTCTCTCTATTTCTTTCCCTCCCTGTCTCTCTCGCCAGCCAAGCCCAAACTTTGTTTTCGCCTCGGAATCACTTGACACACACTGGACAAGCGACAAAGCTCTCGAGGCTCGGGGCTTTCCCTGTTGCGAGCGCTCCGAGTCTGCTAACCTCCAGGCAATATGCCTCCTGGCCGCAACGAATCAGACATCCACACGCACACTCCATCTCTCCTCAGGTGTGCGCTTCCGGAAATCTTCCTCTGGCCATTCGGCCCATCAACAGGCGGCCAGGGCAGTTCTGGAGCGCCACGTACGTTTTGCGCTGCACAACACATGCCCCCGGCTGGCTGGCCTTACTGATCACGATCCGATATCATCTGCCTCGGTGACGAAGCGGCTACTCGAGCCAGCTCATCTCGACTTGGCACCGAACCAGGCATCGAACTTGCCAGGCCCTTGCTTCCGTCGAGCGTTTGCACAAAGGACAACTATGCTTTCGAATCCGTCTATCACCGTATCCTCTACTCGTATCCACCGTTTCCCATGGAAGCCTCGGGGATATTGAACAATGTCGTCTCGAGCGTCCACTCAGGGTGCTTAATCTCATGCATCGCCGCTAGCGGATCGGCTGTCTGGGACATGGCACTCGCTTTGCTGCGTGCTAGCGCCGCAGATCCCCACCACCATCTCATACTACTCACTGCTGGGTTCGATTCGCGTTCTGAACACTTAACACACTGCACAAAGCACCTCTGCTGCCAGTGCAAGTACGCGTCGCCCCGCACTGGGAGAGCTGCTGCATCACTGAAGCTTCCCGCGACTGCGCCTCAATCTCTCCCAAAATTCGATCCACAGCTACTGGGGTCAGGCCGGGCGTTTCGGCAGCAATCCCACCCCCCTTAACCCCGTCCTCGCACGCCGTTCCATTTGCTTTTACGCTGATGTTTGGAACTCGCAACTGGCATAAACAATCCCCATTACGAGGCCCATGCGAAGTCGACGTCCGCGTATTAGAGTGCTGTACTTTGGTCTTGCGCCTGCGCTCGTCCTCCCCAGCGAGCATTGACAGGCCGCGTCTTCCATTCTGACCCAACGACTCGGCGGTGTCGGCCCCCTTTCCAATACATAGTACTCTACCATGACGACACTGTGCTTTACGTCGGTCGGGTACGCAGCACAGAACCCTCGTATCAGTCATCCGTCCCACCTAGGCGCGACCTGAGAGCTTGGAACCCTTACCCCTGATCCTCACCATCTACAACAACCTTTCAGTCTCACCCCAATCGCGGAGTCGGAGATGACATCACACTCGTTTCCCTCGGCCTTTCTGGATCAATGGATTCACACTCTCAAGTCGAACCGCGGAGAGCAGCTCAATGACTTCCCCAACTATCACGTCTCGGACCCTGAGAGCCTCGTGACGACATGCAGTCCCAAGTCGCTCACCGTCGGCAACGGCGCCACCGTCTACAGGAACATCATTCTCCCGGCCATCCTGACTGCGAAACATGAGGTCATTTTGGTGACCTGCTTCTGGGCTCCGTCCGATACACTGACCGCCATCAAGGAGACACTGGAGCTTCTCGCCGAACAACGACAAGAAGCAATCCGCACATCTGGCGAGCACGCAGTCGCCCCGTTACGCGTTCGCATCTGCTTTTCGTCGCGCAGCCTCTTCCAGAAGATATTCCATCCGTGGTCGAGGGACGGATACGCGTACCCGTCCTCGGCATGGCCAAAGCTCGGGCTGACTCCAGACACCACCCTCAAGGCGGCCCGCATCGAACTCTCCGCCAAGAGCCTGTTCTTCTTGCCATTCAGCGTCATGCATCCCAAGTTTGTCATTGTCGACCGCAGACGCGCCTGGATGCCCAGCTGCAACGTGAGCTGGGAGACGTGGTTCGAAGGTTGCATTGGGTTCGAAGGGGCTGCCGTTGCACAGCTCATGAGATTCTATGCCCACGTGTGGGAGCCAGACAGCCCTCGAGATATTCCCGACGGATTCGCCAACAGTGAGGCGACAAACTGGGGACCAGGCCATGTCGCTGAAGACGCTGGCCGGACTGCTACTGGACTACCTTCGGACGAAGAGACGGCGTATCGCCAGCTCGACCTCTCAAGCCTGCCACCGTGTCCAACAATTATCTTGCCTTCATCTCATCACTGGAACCCTGGCTTTCGCTACGTGCCCTTAAGGCGGCGGACCACAGCGCCGGCGACCCCATTGAACGCTGCGCTGCTCTCTCTGTTCGCGTGTGCCCGGACTGACATCGACATCGTGACGCCAAACCTGACTTGTCGGACAGTTGTTGACGCGCTCTTGGACGCTCTGCGTCGCGGCGTCGACGTCCGCATTAGGACGAGCAAGAACATGATGTTAATCGAGCAGCTCGTCACGGCTTGCACAACGACGGAATGGACGCTCCAATCGCTCATCAAGCGATACAGCCAAGCTTGTGCCGAGTGGAGACGGAAACGATCGGCTGACGCCGAGTCTCAGCTGCAACGTCCTGGCCGTCTCGACATTTACTACTACCGCCCGAACTTGCAGGCGACGGCGGCCCGGGACCCTGAGGAACCGGTCGTGTCGCACTTGAAGATGACACTCGTCGACAGGGAGTACCTGTGCCTGGGCTCTGGCAACCTGGACCGGGCCAGCTGGTATACGAGTCAAGAGTTGGGCATCCTGCTACACATCCCCGACTTCAAGTATGATATTTGGTCTGAATCTCTCGAGTCCAGAGTAGAAGTGCGATTCAGTGGAGGGGCCGGTGACAGAATGGCGGGCTAGTCAGGTGTCTTGGTGTGTGATGTGTTTGATTGTGCCATGCGCGGCGTCACCATTAGATACCCATAACGCTCTATATACTACGTATTGAATCATGTCGTCGTCGCTCACCCAACATTAATCAGACGGAAGACGACAGTGACACCAGACTCGCGTCATCATCGCGGCGGGCAGTCCAGACAATAGCTCTGAAAATCTGCTCCATGAACCACTCGTCCTCATAGGCGTTGTCGTAGTGGCCTAAGGCCGTGTAGAACGACCGCCCACCGTCAAACTCCTGGCACCATGCGAGCGGGTGATCGTCCCCCATGGCGCCGCCCTCAAATGTCGACGGGTCGCCCCGGACCAGGATATGGAGATTCTTGTTCGCCCTGGGATGGGAGAGGAAGTTGTACCACTCGTCAGTCCACCGTTTCCGAGTCTCATCGGCCGGCCCCGCCGGGCCCCCTACGCGGTCCCCGTCCCACCCCATGATGAAATGCCCCGTGTCCTCAACCACACACGTCGCCTCCTCAGGCGGCGGATGCTGGTCGAAGTGCGCGCCGACAAGCCCGCCGTACCAGTCGTCGTCCAGCAGGCCCGCGGCCGCAGCGTGCAAGCCGACGAACCCGCCACCGGACTGCATGAAGCTCCTCAGCGCGCCGACTTGATCGGCGCTCAGGAAGGTCCCCGTGCATTGGAGGAAAACGACTGTGGCGTAGTGCGTAAGGGAGCGCGGGGTGATGGAGGCCTCGGCGTCTTCGCTGGCGTCAACGTTGAAGGACCCCGTGCGGGCGCCAAGGGTCTTTAAGGCCGAGACGGCGGCCGGTATGGAGTCGTGACGGTAGCCGGATGTCTTGCTGAAGACCAGGATGCGAAAGGGCTTCATGGGCGCCTTGCAAGTGGGCGTCATTTTCGATGATGGGGCACCTCGCGATGATGATGTTTGTCGTTGATGAGATATTGGAGGGGTATGGCGGGGCAAATGGGGTAACTTCTGATCCTTATTAGTCGCTAAGTTTGACACAAAGTCACAACCACCGGCTGTGTGTTCTAGTGGATTATGATTTCTCGTTCACAAGTATGTGCACTTGATCCCGAGAAGGTCGCAGGTTCGAGCCCTGCCACGGTCATAGCTAAGATCTTTTGCTTTTTGCTGCACTTACTTCTGCTTTTTCAATGTGCTCTGTCGACCTTTTGCTAATCTCAATAACGAATCTTTGAGCCTTCGTGCTTTGAATGCTGGGCTTATTTCCTACTGGTTTGGTTGCTAAGGGGTACCTCATCTCCGGGTTAGATGCGGATACGCCTCTGTTAAGTACTTTCACCCTCATGCACCGTGACGTCTTCCTTTTGCCCATTACATTAACAGCTACTAATAGGGTTACTTCTAAGCTTTGGCTCGCATTTATGACAAATGTCCCGGGGCTGACTCCGGGAATCCTCCCGGGTCCGGATTCCCCTCGTTGACCTACAACGCCGCAAAACGCACATTACTCAACATGCCCCATCACACGCCTCACGCCGCACAGGAAGTCGGCTCGCCGATGCCAATCTCAGCTGCAGCGAGCAGATACTCCATGAAGCCAGCGCTCGTCTCGAGAAGGTTCTGGTGGTACTGGTCGGGGGTTGGGTAGAACGGGCACTCGACCTCGTCGTTGCCGAAGCCAAACTCGACGGTGAAGCCGTGGATCTTACCGAGCGAGGGGTCGGCAAAGTGGCGCGAGTAGGCGTAGTCGTCGCTGGCGCCTGACGTCGGGTACAGGTACGCGCTCTGCTGGACCTCGTAGTGGCGTCCCACGGCAGCATCCATGGCGTTTCCCATACGCATCGCCGCGAACACCTTATCCGACCAGTCGCTGCTGGGAACGTACTCGCCGTAGATGCCGTTGGTGGTAGGCGTGTCGGGCATCAAGCCCCTCACGGCGTCATATGACTCGTTCAGGAAGCTCATGTACGGCTTGCGCAGCTGGTTCTCGTCGCTACCCCAGTTGTACAGCACGACGCCGATGTAGCTGTGGATGTCCATGAACCATCGCACCTCTTTGTGCTCGTCCATGACCCACTTGATGCTCTTCGTCTCGGGCTCGGAGAAGGCGCTGGCGCCGTGGTACGTCTCGTCACCGGGCTGCTCGGACGCGACATTGGGGCCGACGGTGGGCGCAAAGTCCTTGAGGAAGTCGAAGAGGAAGTCAAAGTTGCGGTTCAGGTCGATGCCGACGGCGTCCGGGTTGCCACCTGAGGCGGCGGGGTTGCGGTTCTTGCGCCAGCAGCTGTGCGTGGCCTGGTCGTACGCCACGCCATCGGGGTTGCTTAGGGGCGTGAAGACGATGCCCGTCGACAGCGCGCGCTGGACGTCGCAGTTGGAGTAGGTGCGGCCGCCAAACGTGAGGCCCTCGCCGTGCTTGTTGGCGTACAGCAAGTCCGAGACGAAGTAGATGATGTTGTCCGAGGCGCCGCGCTCGCGGGCGTGGATGGCGGCGTTGAAGTAGACGCGGTAGGCGTCGCTACAGTTGCCGGCGCCGCCGACCTTTGCGCCGAAGAAGGAAGCGTTCTGGTACGTCTTGTAGGGGGACTCGAAGTACTCAATGTCGTACTCCTCGACCAGGCCGCGGACGGCGCTCTTGATCTCGTTGACGTTGAGGAGGGACTCAAGGTTCGTGCCGGCGGGCTGGGAGCCGAGGCCGCGAGGGAACCTCTTGCCGCCGTCGAAGCGGTCGCCCGTGCCGATGGCGACGCCCGTGTTGTTGGGGTTCGTGACCTGGCGGCGGGCTATGCGGCCGCCCGAGGCTTCGCCGGGGAGGAGGCATGCCTCGCCCAGCAGGGCGAGAGAGAGGAGGGCGCAGGCTTGCGGGGTCTTCATTGTCGCGTCGTTGGCGAGGAAGGGCAAGCTCTGGGTGAGGGAGTAGAGCTTGTCGAGAGGAACCTGGAGAAGAGAGGCCACCGATGACAGCAATAAGGAAGCGCTCGATATGTATACATATATATATATATATCGAAGTCGCCAAGCCGCCCCTCTCATTCGCCCAGCTCCACCGGAGTTACGCCCCAGCTTTGTGTAGCTGCATGATGATGTTGGTGATGCTGATCACCGGGGGCATCGTACTCCTGGGCCCTGTCTGCTTACCCTGCGTCCCATTGTTCTCCTTCATCCAACTTGTCAACCGCTTGACATGGCTAGTGGTTAGCTGCGGAATCAGGAGCACGGACTCGTTAACATTGCTTCCCTATCTTTTTAGAGCCCTTCTCGCTTCCTGTTCCTCGACTAACGTCTCCCTCCGGGTTAATTGGGGTATTGGCGCGAAACCGGGCGCAAGCCGATCCAAGACTGAGACGAGCTCGATCGGGCAGCTGGGAGCCAAGCCGGCGTTTACGCTCACATTACTGCTAATGACGGTCTGGTCGATCCAGTAACGCTATGGCTACTTATCTGCGCAATCGTTAGCATTGACGCGTCTTACAACAGGATTGGCCAGCGTCAAGACTTTTTCCACCCAGTTGCTTTTCTCGCTGGTGGACTCGGTGGAAGTCTTGGCGAGGGCCTTTTGCAGAGCCCAAGACGCGAACCGAGCAGGGGGGGCTCGATGGGCCACACGCGTCGGTTCTCTCCGCTTGGAGGCGGCGGTGTAACGTCGAAGCATGGCTTGTCCCGGTCCATCTGGTTGGAGGTCTCTGTCGACGACGGCTCCGTCGAATGCGGGGGACTCAGTCCTGATTCAGCAGGTCGTTGTGACCCACGGAGATTAGCGGCAAGCGGAGGCTCCAATGTAGATCTCTATGCTACCAATTGGCGCAAGGCTCTTGTAGCTGCTTGGGGCGCCCATGTCTTGCTGCAGCACTGCAGGTATCACCGAATGTTGTGCTTCGTCTGGGGAATGAGGGAATTTGATTGTTGGATTTCCACAAGCCCGACTGAAAAATTGGACCTCTCTTTGACGAATCCACATCCCGCCAGTGAGGTTATTCGCAACCATGCCTGCTTGTGTTTCAGTGTCTCAACTGAGCACAAATTTGAAGTATTTCAGAATCTTCACATGAACAGTGGTAAATTGAGACCGTTCTAAATCGCAAGGAACGAGCCTTTCGGGATCCATGACCCGCCCAAACGCTGGCTACCTTATTCGTTGAGGGTAGTCGGGGAGGGTTTCCACTTTAAAAGCAAATGGAGTGCCTGAATAAATGGATAAAACTGGAAGAGGGATATGGGGTTTAATTGTAAACCAGTGGACTGTAGCCATGCCTTGGGAATACGTAGCAGGGTACTGACGTCTGCCACGATGGTGAAGCAACACTTCTAGGCCGTATGCTTCTTGATCCGGCTGACCTTTAAGTAATCATGGAGCATCTGTGCGAATCGGGACGCTTGTTCTACACACTCTCAGCAACCTTACTGTGCACCTAGTCCATTGCTCGGAAAGATCCGAATGATTACTTCTCCCGACGCCGTTCAGTGAGAGTCACCATGAAATCTTGTGGTTTCACAAGCGTGGCATTTCTGCAGTGCCACTCTTTGCTGGTTCCTCCTTCGAGATTGATGTCGAAATCACTGACGAGTTGTGGAATCAAATTTGACATTTCCAACATAGCCAAATGTCTACCCAGGCAGACTCTAGATTCAACGCCGAACTGAAACGATGGAAACGTCGGCAAAGAACTCCACATAGTCCCTAGGCTAAGTCATCATGTCACCGACGCATGGCCATGAACGTAACGGAATCCAATAACGCTTCATTAACTGCAGCTTGGCTTGGTCGTCGATTAACCACCTTTCAGGCTGGAATTCGTCCGGGTCCTCGTAAACGTCTTTATTCCTCGCCTCAACCCAGCTCTGGACAGCGACGGTTGACTACGTGCCAGTAAGGTCTTTTTTTCCCTTCATCTTGAGGTAGTGACATAAGGACTTGGGGAAGAAGAGGAGGGAACTGAATTGAAACCCCAGACTTACATTTGGTTGGAACTCATGCCCTGCAATAACTGTGCCGGGTTCTGGTACTAGCAGTTCCAACGGATACCCGACTACGGGATGCATTCTTAGTGCCTCTTTAATAACGGCCTGAAGGTACGGCACCGTTTGCGATATATGGAATGGGGAAAGATTGGATGAAGACAAGACGAACTGGTCAGCCTCTTCCCGTAGTTTCTGGTAGCATTGGGGCGTCCTGCAAACGTAGTACAGGATAGCAGCTAGACTTATGCCTGTCATGTCTGAGCCTGCTATTACGTTGCCAACGCATCTTGACAATACAACTGGGTCGGGAACTCATGTTGGGTCCGGCTCATGCTTTCGTAAAAGCTTTGCAAGGAAGGCTTGCGTCCTGATATCGTCCTCGTTGATGACCTCGGTGATCGGGTGACTTCGTATTTGATAGGTCTTCTCTTCCGCGACGCGACTGACGTACGCAACTCCAGTATTTTTGTTCCGAAGAGCCTTTGGATAGTGGGTAATGTGTACTTGTGCAGGCTCGGAAACACACTGAGGAGAAATCCATACAGTGCGAATCCTTCCAAAGATGAGATGCGATCTCCAATATCCGCACCTTGGTCAAGGAACCCGAACCGAGATCCGTAGGTGATGACAGTAATCACGTCGAACGCGTATCATTGCATCCAGTGGCTCACATTGAACGGTGCGCCGGCGGCAGCAAACTCCTCGAAGCGCTGTGTAATGACGCTAGTGCAGTCGTCTACATATGGCTTGTATGATAAGGCACTGCTCAATGAGTAGCTGCTTGCGTAAGCTCTGCGCAAGTATATATGATCCTTTGGATCTTGGACTGCGAAAGCATTCAGATGCAATGTTTCCGGGTTGCTGTAAGCACTGTACATGGGACCTTTCGGGAATGCATTCCCGTGACCGTAGATTATCTTGGATGCCTCCAAGTCATTGAAGCTAAATCGGTCAGGACCGTAGCGTACAACGGGACCTATGCTCTTCTCCGTCAGTAATTTCTGCCTAGCCAAGTCTACTACTAGAGCCAATACTGATCATATTTTCTGTGAAGTGCTATCAGGTCCAAGTCGAAACGACCTTTGTACACTCGCCAGAGATACCACAGATCTGTGAGGCGCGCAAGGAACGGGCCTGGTATAGACCGTGATGGGGATAGGAGCCCCCGTACAAAGTGTGAGGCAATAAACAGGCCGACGAGACCTAGGAGTACTTGGAACATGAAGAAAATCTGCGATTTGTTCAGCACCAACCGTGAACTGATTCTGAGTCCGTTCAAGAGAGCGTTTGGGAGAGAGCCTGGGAGGCAAGCCCTTAACAATCAGTGGTTGTTACGGTGTTCCGGCCGGGTTTTGCAGCCGGCCCGATCGGGTAACTCAAAATAACGTGACCAAGTTTCGATGGTTTCAACGACGATCTTCACGCTGACAGTGCTTTTGTGACGGGCGCCTTAAAGTTAGGTAGCTTGTTATGATGCAGCCTGACACTATCTTCTTCTCCACTTCCGCAACCCCAGTCTAACAGAAACCAATCCAGTTTATGTCGTGGGTCAAGCAAGCACTTATGCACCCGGTACCATGTACAGAGAAGACACAAAGACTAGGGGCGAGGACTCGACATTGAGATTCGGCAGGTCTCTGCCCATACAGGGATTTCCAGGGCTACTTGAACGCCGACGGTTAAATCAAGCGGGTTGCACCGAGACCTTGCTAGCGTCTAGGTCGTTGCGACCTTGCAACGTCAGAGGGCCATTGTTGGTACCAGAAGGCGCTGGGTTATCAAGATAGGTTCTTGCCCATTCATAGGGATTGAAGAGGCGATATCCAGTAAGCATCTGATACGACGCCTATCTGCGCCTTATGGGCAGCGATCAACAGGTAGAAGGTTGATCAGTCGGATTGACGACTATGTTTATGGAGTGGCTGTTAACGTGGGCGTCGAGTTATTGATACGGCGTCAAAGCTATTAAGTCATACAATTGCCTGCTCGGTACTACTTCTCTTATCTTATACGGACTATTTATTATTCACGGAGACCGGTTCTTCTTCACTAATGACTCCAGTCCGTGTACCATCCACGGACCTAATGTTGAAGCCGTCGCCTAAAATATCAGCGAATTGAACGTGTTCAACATGCTCTAAACCAGTGGGAATAGGTCCATTTGGCTTCCATCGCCATTGTGCTGGTCAAAATCATCTGGGCCCTCGTTCGAGTAGTAAGTGGGCCCTCCCATCTTGGAGTCGAGTGCCAGATAGTCGTTCTTCATATCCCTTTTCATGAATCTTCAGCAAACGCTTAACAATCGAGTTGCCCAATTGTGGCTACCCGTTGATATCCCAAAACTGAACCAACTGCTTCCAGACGCAGCACTAGATGCATTAGGTTCCCCGTTATTAATCAGTGCCCACTCCTTACCCAGACTGTCGTTGTCGTTTGCGCCTCTATTGATACTGATCCGCGTGTAAAATTCACGCGTTTGTGTCAACATCAGAACGAGACAGAATTTACTTTACAACCAGTGCTCCGTCGCTGAGGTGAACATAATCCCCGTCTGATGTTGCATGTCAGGCAAGCAAGCTATGAAAGGTTCTATCAAGAAAATGCATACTCAGCCGGTCCATAGATATTTGCAACACAAGACCGCCAATGACCACACTGGTCTCGGATGCTCCTCTGTTACGCCATGCTCAGATTGCCCCGTTACGGTCAGTGTAGGAATGATCTCCTATTCCGTCCCCGAGAGGCAAGTGGCCAGACTATCAGCATCAAATGATTTCGAGGAAGTATTAGAGCTCACCCATCTATGTCAACCAGTCTAATGGAGCTTGGGTTCTGCGTATTCCCGTCGGTAATGGTCTTCGCTGGCCCCTGGCCGAACGACACCGGAACACGTTGTTTCCACGTTGGCTGGTTGAGAAAATCGTTCAGGCCGGCTTCGTTGGCGCATGGAGATAGTCATCGCAATCTTCCCCTTTCATCTGAGAACTGGTTCTATGAGCTATATACCCCAGCAAGGTAGGGTTGTTTCGACATACACCGGCAAATACAAGTTTCGACTGGTCAAACACGGTCTCAACCGCGATATCGCCCTGATCCAGGAAGAGTACATTTTTGACCTTAGGAGACCCAGTGTTCAAATAGCGTCTTAAGGAACCCTCTCAACAGCGTAGAAATATTCAACACGGCCATCTCCGTTGATATCTACAAAGCGTGTTGCGGTCCAATTGGTCCAATGGGCGTGCGGAATAGCTGATGCAATCTAGCCTTCAGCTGACCGAGCAAAGACAGCATACACATTCTAAGAGACTGCGTTGGCCTTGAACTTGACTTTCTACAAGTCGATCGCTTCAAGCCGGCTCTACGGTCTGATGACCAGGTAGAGGAGGATGCTCATTGTGCGAGGATGCACCAACTGGAAGCAACATGTAGGCCAGAAAGTGTTGGTGTCTGGGTACTCACGCAGCCATGGGCAACAGCGGCGACTATGGAAACGTACATTATCAGGCTCGCAAGAGATATGGAGAAGCGCTGCCGCTTGATCAAGGAGTTTGTAGAAACGTTCTTTGAAGATCCTAGAAATTGTTCAGATCTGGACTTGGATTGAGGCACTGGGAACCTCGTTGTGCATTCTGGGAGGTCATCCGACAGCTCGTCATACTGGTAGCTTGTTACTGATATCCGTGGTCTTCTTAT